GTACTATTCACTGGACAACAAAGTGTCATATTGCAGTACATACTAACAGCAGAGAAGCATTATAATTACCAATCTTCTCATCAGATGTCAGAAAGTCAATAAAAGGGGGAATTTGCCAAAAAACTGCCAATGTGGTCTTTCAAATCCACTGAAGCATGAAGTGGGCAGTATGTTTTGCTGCTTATTATGCTGCAGCTGTCAAAACTGCTTCACCAGTCCAAACTTGATTTAACTTTTTTTTTAACCTCTGGGTCTTGGAAACAGACCAAGCATACCAGCGGCAGAAGTAGAGCAGAACATTACACCAATGAGTAAGAAAGAGGGGACAGCTAAGAGGGGACAGTTTAGAGATAAAGGTTAGGAAGACGAAGGATAGGTGAGAAAGACGGGGGGAGAGAAATAAAGAGTGTCAGAGAGAGGAGAGATCCATACAAGCTGCCCAGTTTGGCTTCTGTTAAGAGAATTGAGAAACAGGAAATCAATAGTGGCGGCCACCCAGGCAGCCAAATAATGGAGGCTTTACAGAGGAACACAGCAAACGATGACTTCACATTAATCAGGAAAAAGTTGTTTGGTGGGAAAAATGAGACGTCATCGTATGCTGGTTGTGGAATGAGAAATGGATGGAAAATGGTCAATGCTCCTGTTAATGATGGTTACTTAGTGCCAGTAATTAAAACATGACAATGTGCTGTTTACCCTGTGGCGTTACCTCATAGAGGTCTAATGTGAAATCAATACTGCGATGTACAACACTGAACAGCAGAAACAGGTTGAAAAGAAAGCAGGCTGGACAGAAAGCTTTCAAAATATCGGCAACCAGTAAAGAGTTTTTCTCCAAAGTCCTGAACAGAGTTGGGCTAGTTACTCAAAAAAAGTAATTCATTACGCATTTCAAAAGTAATATTACTTATATAACTACTTATACTACTTATAACTCACTGCCACCAGTAATTAGTAACACTACTAGTTAAATTACCTTTCTGCTACTTCAAACGTTTTTGGCTGACATCAAGTTAATGGGATATTTCCAGCTGCTGTGTTTCCGTCTGCCAAGCCAGTTTCCTCCACGATTACAAAAAT